ATGCTAATGCATGTGAATCAATGTACTCGTGCATGTCATGCATGTGAGCTAATAAATGGTGATGGATTGGTTAACCATCACGTGAAGTTGTTAGGAATCTGTTTCAGGTTGTTAGGCTGTTAAAGTCTATTATTAGAGAGCTATAAATGTAAGTGCAATCAAGGAATGAGTGATTCATTTTCAATAATTGAACGCTTTTCTTATTCAAGCTTGTTTAGTTTCTTTGCTGCAAGTTCCAGAGGCCTACCAACTAATTTATTGTGTCAATGATTATAGGAAATATCTTAATTATGTCTTTAGTTTAGGATTGTAAATTTTTATTATAATTTTAAATATATTCTGTTTTTTAATAAAACTAGTGACTATTATTTGTATAAAAAACAACTAAAAGTGTAAAAAAAATACATAATTTATATATTTTTAATAAAATTAGACTTTCATTAAAATAAGTGTAAGATACATCAGACAATATAATCCTACAGTCCTAATATGAAAATCTAAAAGATGAAAAGAAAAATAAAATATTTTTTTTCTTAAATACATGTTTCATCTTCCATGAAAATCTTGCCGACATGAATTTGATTATAATATATAAAGATAAGCCATAGATGATGGGATCCATTTTGTTAAATTGAAGAGTGCTTGCTGTAGTTGCGTTAACATAGACAAATCATTCTAGGAGTCCCAAGGAGTATTCGGATATCATCACCGTTATTTATATTATCTTTATGTTATGGACTATTTTTTTAAAGTTATTTGATAACGAGTAATGTTAGAAGGTATTCTTTCATATTGATAAAATTTTAAATTATTTATAATATTATATTTCAATTGAATTTTTAATTGTTACAGAAAGTGTTGTCTCTTTTGGAATCTTGAATTCAAGTAATTATATATATAGGATATGTGGATTATTAATAGTTAATAATTATTTTAAACATATGTTATATTATAATTACCTAAAATTATTTAATATAAAATGTTAAGGAATTAAATATAAGCTAAAACAATAAATACTTCGTAATAAATAAGTATCAACAAAAGCATAATATTCATATTCGAAAGAAGATCCAGCAATTATAGTAACATCATCACATAGAATTCCAGCCTTTGTTTTCACGATGATTGAGGCATTCAAACTTCAAATCCTGTTTCTCAAAATTCAAAAAATTCAAGTTTAAAGGTCCATTCCTATTTTTATTATTGTATAATTTGGTTCTTAAACAAGTTTTGTTCCTATGTTTAATTTCTTGTGCTGCTGGCTTTTGTTTATTTAAGAGTACACGTACTCTTCCATTTCATTGCATGGTTATTTATAATGCTATGAACGAATATCGATAAAGAGTTATTAGGTATTGATATAGATTGATCGTACTAGAAAATGATGACGTAGACTTGTTTGGCATCGAAAGAGATTACGTGTATCAATACGTGATCTATGGTGATTGCACGCAGAAGGTATACGCGGGGTAATAAGTGACTGACATGTGGTCGTTGCTGGTAGTTCGTGGGATATGCTCCACGTGTCTGAAAATTCGTATGAGTCTTAGTTCGCACGTTTGAAAAATCACCAGGCTAGAAATTGTATATGTCATAAGCTCGCGTGTGATAACACAATGATGATTCTAAAATTCAATTTGATTCTATTGATGATATATATACGAATTTACACATTATATATTATGCATAATATATATAAGATTAAAATTTATTATATGATATAAAAATTATAAAATTTTGTTTCATTCAACAAAATTATTTTTATTTTTTTAAAAATCAAATATACTTGTAGTGATCATTAAATTGTTAGATGAGAAAATGATCAAGAATAGTCTAACGGCCATTGATGAAAATAGAGAGGAAAACAGTTGCAAACACCGGAGAAAATGGTCTTATTTAGAGTTAATTGCACTATACAACCTCAAACTATGATCGTTATTTTCAATTGATCCATAAACATTTAATATTCCGATTTAATCCCTGGAGCATGACTTTCATTCTAAATTGTTGCCCTAACTTTTAAAAATTCTAAAATCATCTCCACAATATGACCCTCATTCTAAAGTGATCTCCAAACATTTGAACATTCCAATAACGACCCCCTAAGCATTCAAAAGTTTGGGACGGAATTAGAAGATTCAAAAGTTTGAGAAATGATGTAGATTGAGGGTCATAGTTTGATGATAAATTTAGGATGTTCAATAGTTTAGAATCCAATTTAGAATGAGAGTTATAGTATGAGAATGAAATTAGAATGTTAAAATATTTAATGACTAACTTGAAATGAAAGTCGTAATTTAAGGATGTGCAGTGCATTTTAAAAGTTGAATATTATATGAATATGAAAACGTCTATTATTAAAATTCTATGATTAATACTTAAACAAATTGGAAAATTTCTATTAATGATTATAAGTTGACGTTGACAAGGGAATAATTTTTCTTTAATCCCATTAATGACAAACTTGAATTCAATCGCTTCTGATGCGATTGATAATACCAAATATTAACAAGGTCTTCCCTTCTATAATACCAAACACTAATGATTACACGTAATTTTACATGGGAGCATGTATTTTTTTTTTACATTTTAATTTTGATATATTTTATTTAGACTCAAATATAAATATTGGATACAAATATAAAATGAAGTATTAGATATATTGAATATAAAGATTGATCTTAATGATAAAGAAAATATTATTTTTCGTAAGTGATTATCGTATCGAACATCTTTTCTTATGAAACTCCTTTTTTCGAGTTCCCATTGGCAAGGATAGACACCTTAGTCGAACTAACACATTCAAACATCCACGTTTGCTACATAATCAAGAAAAACTAATTTTAGGCAGTCTCAAAATCCAGTTTGAAAATAAAGCCACCGTTCTTCGGATTGTTCTTAAGTGAGTTGCGTACAAGACAATAAGTAGAGGATCAAATTTGACATGATTTGAAACTAGCTACAATATCATATTTTGGCTATCAAAACCCCCAAACCAAATTGGTTTGTACAACTAATCTTAAGAGATTATATTTAACATCTATATTATATCTTTATTATTTGGTACAATAGTAGTTAAATTTGTTTTTTACGAGTAGATTTAATTCATTGCCATGTGTATTTGATTGTTTATTTAAATATTAATTAAAAAATATGATGATAAATAAAATCACTTAATTATATCCATATATCCAACAATTTTCCCAAATTCAAAAACATTCACAAAAGGATCATAACAAACAAACAAACAAAGGAAGGGTCAAATTCTCTGGAAATTTTACTTTATATTTATATTTGAACACTTAATTATTTCTAAGAGATCTCTTAATTAAAAAGAAAATGTCCGAAAGCAACGGACAACAATCATTTTCGCAGTACCCAAAGTCCTCTGGCTGGAAAGACAACAGTCTTTCAACTGAACACTAAAGTGTAAAACTAAGCAGATGAGCAACTAGGAACATGATTGTCTCCCCGTTCTCCTAAATATAATTGGCTGTTAATTTCGGTAGAAAAGTGAATATACTATAAAATTATAAATAAGATGTCACTTCATTTCCTCAGAAGAACCACGCTCAAGTTATATTATATCTTCGGGTCTGATTTGTGCTGGTTGTAGTTGTAGAAGCTCAATGTTATTGGTGTTGAGAATGTGGTCAACACTAGACATTATGCAGATTAAATTACACTGCGCCAAAACTAAGCAATCTATTAAGTATGGTCAATCCATAAACAAGCATGTAGCTTTCAGATGTTTTCCCTAGAAGTCCCGAGTTCGAGCAACTAAGTCTACAAGGTATGTGCACATCCGTTGTCAATTGGCTGAAAAAACTCTGAACAAACACTATATTGTAGTCACCTCAGACTACTTGCCCATATTCATTGTTGAAAGAAATCACATACTTTTCCTTCTTTCCTAAAAAACTTATATATATGCAAATGCAAAAGAAAAGAACTGAAAAAATACAAGTGTAACATATACTTTACGAGAGTAAGGACTTGGAGCTATCTCAATTACTAAATCTTTGTTTATATAGTAAGATGTTCTGTATCAAATGTCCAGAAAACTCCAACTACGAGGGAAGGATGATCTAAACAATGTAAATATTAACTAATTTACATACAAAAATGCACCATTGAGATTGTCATCCACCTAAACTGTAGAAATCAAAAGAGAAATTGGGGCTTTTGGCATTAACAAAATAATATAATATTCCTTCAAACAAGATTTTAGCTGCAAGTATCGGACCAAAAATGCCTGCGGCAATCTGACTGATTGTAATGACAACATGATCTTACACATGCTACCTTGATGACATCTATAATAAATGCAAAAAATGCAGTTTTGATAACTGGTAGCAACAATATGGAAAGGAGAAAATGCAACTCAGCATTGAAATGCAGCAAGGAAAAAGATCCACCATTCAGAAAACGAAAATGGTATTCAAGTCACTCAAGGAAATATAATGTAAAGTGTCTACATTCTAAACAGCACAGAAGCTTCGCTCAAAGAATTATGTTATTTTGACATGAGCACATGATAACAGTTAGTATAAACATGTGTCTACATTCAATTCATATCAATTGTTTGCTTAGATGAGCGAGATACTATACATATAAGTTCACAAGAATGCAGTTTCTAATTCACAGCAGAAACCTCAGTACCTAAGAACCTTTCCTAACACATTAGATATTTTAATCAACAATTACGTTCCTCAAAAGGATTGCAATAAAAGCACACCGGAGAATTATTAAGATTTAAGACCATATAAAATATAGAAACTTCTAGTGCATGCAGCTCTTTCTACACATCAAGTATCAACTATTACAAGGCCGAGTTTAAACTTGATAGCTCTGGTATCCATTGTTTAGCTTTCAAGAGATGAAAAATTCTAAACAACATTGCCTAATTCCTGTGAAGCTAAAAATTTCGTTTGTTGAAACAGATGGTGGAGGAACACTAAGGATATTATTATAGTAAGGAACAAAGGAATGCTGTTGAGTTGGTGGGAAAAAATCATTAATGAAGAAAATTCTAGCACCCTCTATGCTGCATTTTGCATTGTCGCAATGAATAGAGCAACAAAAACCAAACAACTCACAAAGATCAAGCATATTTTCACAAAATACAGAAAACCCTAAAAAACAGTGGGTATTACAGTTAAAGATATTATTATCGTCTTATAGCAATTAAGCATCTCGAAATATCCATAGCCTTACGAAGAGATCACAACAACAAACCCTAGCAATACCAATTATAAATGTAAACAAGAGCCCTAAAGAGAGAAATAGAGAAACAAGGATCCTCAAGATTCAAGCCTCTTCCTTAACCGATAAAGAAGAAATCTGCTCTCCAGTCGGAGCTTCCGTACCTGACGGGGCATCGGCGGCGGCGGAAGAAGCTCGAGATTTGACAGTGTCGAGCATAAGCTTGCTGATCTCCTTGGAATACATCTGAAGGATCTCAATGCCATCATGGTGGGGGGAGAAATCTGCTCCAGCAACTGAATAAGCCTCCTCCTCAATCGACTTGGCCAAGGAGGAAGCCTCGTCCTCAGGGATTGTTCCGTAACGTTTGGAAAGTACAGATTGGGAAGACAACGTCTCGACTAGGCGGTTGATAACGGCATCGCGGGTTCGTTGAGAGGGAGGCCAAATTCGGAGCGTAAGGTTATTGAGCTTGGCGGCGGTGTCGTCTACTTGATCTTGAGGCTCCGTCGCTGCGGCGGCGGCTGAGTCTTGAGCGATGGTGGATTCAGTTTCGGCCATTTCTTTTGCTTAGAGAGTGAGGGTAGTGACCGGAGAGTAAATGGGGGATTTCGAGTTTGGGAGGAGTTTTTTTTTAATCGAATAAAAAATGAAAACAAATAAATCGTGTAAAAAAAAGGGAATTCCATTTGGTCTGAATTAAATGGGCTTAGAGGAGCATTCGTGTGGTTTTGTTTTTGTTTGTGAGCCAACAGCAGCTACACGAGTGGTACCAGCAAGGAATTGAGGCGCCAAAAATTTTAAAAACTAATGTCTAAGCCCGGGTTCGAACCGGAGACCTCTAGTGTGTGAGACTAGCGTGATAACCAACTACACCACCCAGACGACTCTTGTCTACAGTAATCTCTATCTAACTAATATCGAGTATTATCTTGTTCTGTTATAAGTAGGTTAAGTGATATTAAGAACAGGATTTACAGCCAAACACGAAGCTAGAATTATTGCTACAGTAAGTCAGATTCTTTTGTTGTTGTTGAAAAAGGTGATATTAAATTAAAATTTCTTGAGATAAAGTAAAACTATTGTGCTAATCCGAAACTCTACTCATAGATTCACCTTCATGATATATATATATATATATATATATATATATATATATATATATATATATATATATATATATATATATATATATATATATGATTTTTAGTTATTGTAATGATTTTTTTAATAGTCTAGAATGATTATAAAGTAGTTACTTATAATTGATATATCTACAACTTATTCATACCTACAAACATAGTTACTTAAACATAGAGCTTCTAGAGAGAATAATTCTTTAACCATGAGATCGCTTGATGAATTTTAATCGTTATATTATTTAATTCCAAGACTATTAAGTATATATTACGAGCATATAATGAAAATATTAACAAAATAACTAAGATAATTGCATCAATATTGTTAATTTAGAATAGATAAAATACATGGATAATTTTAGTGTTTGAATGATTAAATATGTTTGATTTTTCAGTTGAGATCCAGGTTGTATTTCTTCTCTCAATTATAAAAAAGGATAAAAATAAGTCGATAACGATGAATATACGTCAATTATCATTTGCTTTAGTGGATTGAATCACTAAATTTCTTTAATAAGATTTATATTTTGAATCCATATCGTGAATGATATATCAATTATAATTAAATTGTAATAATCACATCTTATGAGTTTTTATAATATTTAATTAAAATTAATTGATTAATATATTAAATATCATATTTATAAAAGAATACGTATTTATGAGTTTTTATAAAATCTAATCAGAATTAATTGATTAATATATTAAATATTATATTTAAAAAAGAATACATATTTTTTTATAAGTGAGTGCAATTAAAAATATCTTTATCTTTTAAAAAATATTGAAAATGTTATCAAATTTTATCATATTTAATTACAAATTACTACTAAAATGAAAATGAGAGGTTTAATTAAAAATATATTTTTAAATTTAAATATTTAATTTTTTTTATCAAAGTAAGTATTTAAAATATATCATCTTTTTCATCTAAATACTTAGTTTTTTTTTCAAATTTGATACCCTCAATATATATATATTTTTCAAACAAATACCTAAAGTGATTTATAATCAATGTCATGTGTCAATTTTAAGAAAATAGATGATAAAGATTGGATATTTTAGGTTCCTACTTTGACTAAAAAATATTTTAGGTTCTTAGGTGAAAGATGGTATACTTTAAGGATTTATTTTGACAAAAAAATATTTTAGGTATGTAAACAAAAAAAAGTTTGAGGATTGATATAAAATATTTTAAAGTTTAAGAACTAATTTATAACTGGATGATAGTTTAGGAACTAATATAATGTTTTAAAGTTTATGGACTATAATAGAATAGTGGTTATAGTTTAGGGATATCATGTGTAATTATCTTAAAATTAGACCAAGAAATTTACCAATTTTGGTGTCCTTTTCCCAAAAATAACGATGACGAGGAAATTGTATTTAATTTAAGCTGACATAAATTTCAACAATAGACAACACACGACGGGAGATCTCTACTCCCGCATCTGAACGGAGCCGTATCCGCGGCATCTAGACACGCAAGTATAACACTCCTCCGACGATGGATTCTCTAACCCGAGAGGAGGAGTCATCGAGAGAAGAACCGGGCAAAATAAAAGACACCGCGGAGGAATCCGAATCCAAACGCCTCTTATCATCTCAGTCTCCTTCCTCCTCGTCTTCCGATGACGAAAACGAGGTCGCATACGAATCTCGAGAGAAAATCGTCATCGTCGACGTGGAAACGCCGGAATCCATCGGAAATGTCGATTACGTCCCTCCCTTTTCTTGGAAGAAGCTATGGTTGTTTACGGGACCGGGTTTTTTAATGAGTATAGCGTTTTTAGATCCGGGGAATTTGGAAGGTGATCTACAGGCTGGTGCAATTGCGGGTTACTCTCTGCTTTGGTTGTTGATGTGGGCCACCGTCATGGGTCTTCTGATCCAATTGTTATCGGCTCGGCTCGGGGTGGCTACTGGCAGGCATCTTGCGGAACTCTGCCGGGAGGAGTATCCGACTTGGGCTCGTTTTGTCCTATGGTTCATGGCCGAATTGGCGCTTATAGGAGCTGACATTCAAGAGGTTATTGGGAGTGCTATAGCTATCCAAATTTTGAGTAATGGGTTTTTACCGCTATGGGCTGGTGTCTTAATTACCGCATCGGATTGGTAAATGTCCTTATTTTTTGCGGGTTTCTTCTTCCTTTTCCTTGAATTTGAATTGATTTCCATGTTTCAGATTTTATGTTCTTTAGATCGGATGGTATAATTTTAGATTGTTTGAATTCAAAGTTCAAGCCTTTCTAGGTTTTCTGGTAGCTAGCTGCGGATTATCTAGTCAGATTCTGTTCAACTTTATTTTTTTTCCACCTCTAACAAGTGTTCTGTTTACAGTTTTTTCTTTCTATTCCTGGAAAATTATGGAGTCAGGAAACTAGAAGCTGTTTTTGCTGTTTTAATTGCAACTATGGCTTTAGCATTTGCTGGGATGTTTGGTGATACAAAACCTAGTGGAAAAGAACTACTAATAGGTTTGTTTTTGCATTTTAATAAAATTAATCATTTTGTATGAAGTTAATATTTCATTTTTTTAGTATTATTTTATGTTTGCCATTGTTGTAGGCATTTTGGTACCCAGACTTGGCTCAAAAACGATTCGGCAGGCTGTGGGGGTTGTGGGTTGTGTTATAATGCCTCATAACGTATTCTTGCATTCTGCATTGGTACAATCAAGAAAGATTGATCCGAAGAAGAGAGGCCAAGTTCAAGAGGCACTAAACTACTACTCAATCGAATCATCTGTTGCTCTTCTGGTTTCCTTCATGATCAATTTGTTTGTAACAACAGTCTTTGCCAAGGGATTCTATGGTACAAAACAAGCGGATAGCATAGGACTAGTTAATGCAGGGCAATATCTAGAGGAGAAGTATGGTGGAGGACTGTTCCCGATTCTATACATATGGGGTATCGGATTGCTAGCAGCTGGACAAAGTAGTACAATAACTGGGACATATGCTGGCCAGTTTATAATGGGAGGTTTTCTCAATCTTCGGTTGAAGAAGTGGTCGAGGGCATTGATTACACGAAGCTTTGCAATTGTGCCAACAATTATTGTAGCGATTGTCTTTAATACATCTGAAGCCTCATTGGATATCCTGAATGAATGGCTTAATGTACTTCAGTCAATACAGATTCCTTTTGCACTCATACCACTTCTAACCTTGGTCTCCAAGGAGCAGGTCATGGGGGTCTTTAGGATTGGCCCTATTCTTGAGGTAAGCTTTCTGTTTCACTCATCTTCTATTTCATCTGTACTTTATGTTCACAATAACGGCTATTGTCAGTAGTTTAGTTCAGCATGCAAGTTATATTAACTAGAGTATCTGCAGTTACCATGTTTGAAATCAACACCGAGTCATCTTATATTTATTAGTATAGTATAAATATTTTTGTTGTTTCAAACATTTTGATTGCAAATAGAACATGATAACAAACTTGGGCGCCCACCACAAGTTTCTATTGTTATCTCTGTAGCAGCTTGCTTCACTTTTGTGCCTAGTTATTTGTCATTTAAACACTGCTAACCTGAATTGCTTTTCTAACCTGGAACCAAAAGTTTATCAAGTTTCGATACAAGTAATGCAAAACTTGCAACCAAAGGACCCATATAATATTTCCTTTTACTGATATTGCATATGTATTCACTGATCTATAGGGTCATTGCCCTCATTTTGTCATCAATGTTACTCTCTAGGCCTATGCAGTGAAAAGCAATAAAGCTGGCTGATTTGTGGTATGTATGCTTTACTGGTATTCATGACATTTGTTGGAGGGTAATCCCATTTTACCTTAAGAAGTACATGTTTGCTATCCTTGGTTTTTCCATTTAGATGTTAATCTGCAAAATACATTTTAGTACCATAATTATGAGAATTGTGTGTCTAAGTTGAGTAGTTTTATGGAGGAGACAACAATGGCAATTTGTTCTGGAGAGATTTCCAAAGAACTCTCAAATCAAAGGTTTAAAATGTAGGCCTTCATAGGAAAATGAAGGTTCAAAATGAATCTTTCAACTTCATGCGGAATTCGTAAAAAAGTCTTAGCAAGCTTTCAAATTTCAATGTTTCAGAAAATGAAAATGGAAACTTTGAGTTTGTTTGTGGTGCCTGCAGTTCATTTGCATTTGCTTGGACTGTTGTGATTGATGATACTCGAGTGAATTAATAGATCCAACAAATGTTTCATGTATCACTTTAAAACATAGCTAAATTTGATGGTTGCTGTTGTGTTATTTTGCAGAGAATGGCCTGGACTGTGGCTGCGCTTGTAATGATAATCAATGGCTATCTTTTGTTTGATTTCTTTGTTTCCGAAGTCAAGGGTGTCTTTTTTGGACTAACGATCTGTATATGGACAGCTGCATATATAGCATTCATTGTTTATCTCATTTTACATGGCGATGCTCTTCCTTCCACTTGGTTCGACAGAGAACTGTTCAAGCGACATTCCATCGGATGTTAGAAGAGCTAAGGAAAAGCCGCAATCATGGCTACAAGGAACAACGAATTCTTTGAATCATATAGCTTACATAAGCCTCAAAATGGAAATCTATCAATAGTTCGAATAGTGAAGCATTCTTTTGTACACCAATGAGCTTGTATACACATATCCGAACCGTAGAACGCAGCTGATCAAACCGTCTGAGATCTACATTCATGCGTATCAAACCTGCACAGAGATATCTTTCATCTCATAAATCATGTAAGGATAACATTTCTTGAAATTCCCTTTAATTCTTGATGAAGTTTGTTCTATATTAACAGTTTCCCGTGTACCATAAACTGCCATAGTTGTTTCCCTGAAGGGATTATAGATTACAACAGGAAATGAATTTTACGATTATCGTGTTATTAGGATATGTATCATACTCTATTCCAGAACTTTGTTCTCTGCTGTCTGTTCTTTTGTTTTTCATTGATTTGTAATCTGATGAAGACTAAAACAGAAAGAAGAAAGAAATTGAACAAGTAGATTGAGGAAGAAAAGAGTTTTCAGAAATTCATTCGATAAAACAACCCCTAACACAATTTAGGGATTTAACCCCTAAAACCAGAACGGTGATGTATCCAAAACATAAAAATCGATATAGGTTTTGAAGCATAAAAAATATTTAATTAAAACGATGCGTTTAAGGGTAATAAAGCCAACACTTATCATAATATTTCTTTATTTCTCTTGATATATTGAGCAAATACAACCCTTATTTTGGAGCAATATAAATACTTTGTATTTATATAATTTTTTTGAATAGAATATTTATATAAATTTTGAGAGGTTAATAAGTTATATATTGCATTGATTTGGAGATATTAATGTATTCATATTATATTTGTGTTGTGCCTAATATATAGCTATTAATGTATACATAATTATTGGAATATATTGTAATGATTTTTTGAAGTTAAAATTTAATTTATTAATGTGAAAATTATTTTATGAGTGATAATTAAATATATATATATATATATATATATATATATATTTAATAGTAATAGATAAAATTATTTTTACTCTAGAGGAGATTAAAATATCGTTTTGTCCTAACAACATAATTGGGAAAATTCCCTCGTTCTCGCAAGAAAATCTTATCGAAAAACAAAGTCTATACGAAACTTTTGGGGGAAGACCGCCGGAGGAGAAGACAGAGATTAATTTACAACCAGCTTTAGAAAGAACCGAATATCAGGCGAATCTGGAAGAACAAGGAAATCCAAAGAAAATCAAGAACACAAAGGATGGAAATATCAACGATAGTGCTACAGAAACAGAAGAGATGGATGCCGATAATCTATCAGGGAGAGACATGGCCGAAGCATCCGGCATGAATGAAGTAGAAGAAATTGAAAGCGCAAAACGCTAAATACAGGTTGTGGTATTAATGATGATAAGAGGGAAGGCAACTTACGCAAGCATGGTAGTCAACACATTTAGGGCAAGGAAAACGCTAAATACAGGTTGTGGTATTAATGATGATGAAATTGTGGTATTGGAGGAGGACTACGTTATCGATAAATCGGGTGTTTTCCCAACAATAAGATTCTCAGAAAAAGTTCATGATCAAATTGATAAAAACATGAGGAATGTCATCATCGTTCGGCTGTTAAGACGGATGATAGGATACAAAGCCCTGCTAAATCGGATCCAAGCACTATGGAAACCAATTGGAGAAATACAACTCATCGACCTAGAAAACAACTATTTCTTAGTCAAATTTGCATGGACAATATATGGAAGCTATTTGACAGTTCAACCGTGGAGTAGATCATTCTCAACATCTGAAAAACATCCATCACAAGTGATAGTATGAATCAGGTTACCAGGACTACCTTATAGATACTACATAAAAGCACTTTTTCTACTAATTGCTTCAGTAGTCGGACGAGTAATTAAAATAGATTATAACACTCAGGCGAGGGAAAGAGGTAAGTTTGCAAGAATTACGGTTTTAGTAGATCTAAACCAACCACTAATTCATTGTATTTGAATAGATGGATTCACACAAAACCTAGAATACGAGGGATTACAACAGATTTGCTTTCATTGTGGGGTTTATGGGCATACAAGAGAGCAATGTGTAGCATATTAAGTACATATAGAATCTAAACGTGAGGAAGAGCTTAATGAAAGGAACAAAAACAACCATAACCTTGCAACAACATCAAAAGAAACACTATTTGGACCATGGATGGTGGTGGAAAATCATCGAAGGAAAACAACGACAACACAAAAGACTGAGAAAGACAATGTGAAACAAAAAGCTGGTATAGGGGGCTCTCGGTTCACTATATTTAGTGAAGATGAGAATGGTCACATGGTTGAAATAGAAACAAGGACAGAGGATAAAGAAGATAATGAGAACAGAACCGGACTAGTAAATAGAGAAACAACAAAAGGAACTCACCAGATCATCAAACAAGGGGAACAAATCGCAACATGAACATCATGGTACCAAAACCAGCAAAGAAAATGCACGAATCGAACAATATAAAAAACGCAATAGAAGTAATCCCAATGATAGAAGGACAGAACATGGAAGCAATGGAACATATAACCATAACAGGGAACGGAAACCACACAACCATAACCATAAAAGAACCAAGCATGGGGAAAAAATACATGAGACTAAATTCCCAAAAGGGGGAGAAGAAGCTGGAAGGATGAGAAAAGAAAATAATGTGAAAGGATTGAAAGTAAAAAAACAAACAACTTTTCGCCCTGCAAATCATAACCTGATCAAAGAGTGGGTACAGACAATATCTAATAAGTTGTCCATAACCTCGAATGATGAACATGTCAATTTTAAACCACAAGCACTAGTTAATGTGCCAATAAACAATAACATGGTGATAAAGGATCAACAGATAAAGAACAGTGAAGTGAAGGGAGACACAGAGAAGTCTCGGTTAATTGTAGAACAACAAGGTTTCAAAACCTCACAAATTCAAATAAATGACTAGTTTCATGTTTTGGAACTGCCAAGGAGCTGCAAGCCCAACCTTAAGAAGAATCTTTAATCTCTTTGTTAAAGAACATATACCAAATATGGTTGCATTATTCGAAACAAGAACGAGTGGAACAAAAGCAGACAGAATAATCAATAAACTAGGATTCACACAGTCACTTCGAGTAGAAGCACATGGATTTGGAGGTGGAATTTGGCTACTATAGGAAGAAACAATGGAAATTGAGGTTACCCACATATCAAATCAATTCATTAATGGTAGATTTCGGCTTAAGGAAGTTAATACATGGTCACAATTCACAGTAGTTTATGCAAACCCAAACGGGTCTAAAAGAAAACATCTATGGAGCCAACTTGAGGCACTAGCACCAAACGATAATATACCTTGGATCCTGGGGGGAGATCTCAACGTGATATTATGCGTAGATGAAAGAAGAGGAGGCGCAACGGCACACATAAATGGAAGCCGATTATTCGCCAATTTCATGCATTCTATTGGATTATTAGATTTAGGATTCCATGGTCCACCATTTACATGGAATTGTGGGAACCTACAACAAAGACTAGATCGTTGCCTCGGAAACACAAAGTGGATTTCAATATTCCCAAACTCACAGGTACTGCATCTAGATCGAATTGGATCAGATCATCGACCCCTTATCCTAAGGTTGACAACGGACAAACAAGATCATAAAAATTGACCCTTCCGCTTCAGAGCAGCATGGCAGGAACACCCTGAGTTTAAAGACTTTATTGATTCCATATGGAAAGAAAACGGGGAACTAAACGAAAATATTAGCACATTCAAAACTGAAGTGAAAAAATGGAACTCAGACGTCTTTGGACACATAGGAAAAAGGAAAAAATCTTATTGGCACGACTGAGAATAATAGACAAAGCCCTACAACGAACACACTCAGAATTTCTGGTAGAGTTGGATAAACAATTGAGGTCAGAACTCGACACTGTACTAGACCAAGAGGAGAGTCTGTGGAGACAAAAAGCACGTACAAAATGGATACTGGAAGGGGATCGAAACACTGCATTCTATCATGCCTCAACAATAACAAAAAGAAGAGCAAACAAAATCGAAACCTTAAAACGTGAAGATGGCAGTTGGAGTACTGATCAAGAGGAACTTAGAGAAATGGCAATCCAATTTTATACCAAACTATTTTCAAGCAGTGGGGATCCTAAATACAATTATGAAATAAGAGGCAAGTTCCAAAAAATAGAAGAGCATGAAAAAGAAAGCCTTACACGAGAAGTAACCAATGAGAAAATCAAGGAAGCTATTTTTGGAATAGGACCACTTAAGGCACTTGGAATAGATGGAATCCATGCGTTATTTTATCAGAAAAATTGGAGCTTAGTTGGGAATTCAGTTTCCATGATGATCCGATGAATACTCACAGAAGGAATAATGCCAGATCAACTCAACCAGACAATACTGATACTTCTACCAAAGGTAGCTAAACTAGAAAAAATGCACCAGTTTCGACCGATCAACCTTTGTTCAATGCTATATAAAACGGTCACAAAAATCATAGTAAATCGTCTGAAGCCCCTGTTACCAGAATGGATATCAGATAACCAAACTAGTTTTGTTATGGGTAGAAACATTATTGATAATATTTTAATAACCCAAGAGGTAATACATTCTATGAGAAGGAAATCTGGAAAAAAGGCTGGATGGCAATAAAAATCGACTTGGAGAAAGCATATGATAGACTGGAATGAAATTTCATAGACGACACATTACGGACTTAGGGTTTCCCAGATGCTCTATGTAATCTTATTTACCATTGTGTTTCGACAGCTTCGACACAAATATCATGGAATGGATCATTGACAGATGCTTTTAAATCATCAAGGGGGATAAGATAAGGCGACTCATTGTCTCCTTATATTTTTGTTCTATGTATGGAAAGACTAGCACAAGCAATTAAAATAGAAACTGAAAATGGACGATGGAAACCATTCCAAACATCAAGAAGCAGCCCAAAGATATCCCACTTATTTTTTGCAGATGACATGATTCTATTCGCAGAAGCCTCCTTAGACCAACTCAATATCATCCGAACAGTACTAGAAAGATTCTGTGAAGTTTCGGGACACAAGGTAAGCATTGCAAAGACAACAATTTTCTTCTCTAATAATGTACAAACAGCACTGCGAAATCAGATAAGCACATCCTTTGGATTTACTATGGTTGATGATCTAGGGAAATATTTAGGAGTACCAATATTACACTACCGAGCCACCTCAACATCCTATTATTACTTGGTACAAATGGTTCAAACTAAACTAAGCAGGTGGAAGGCAAAAACATTGTCACTAGCTGGTCGAATTACACTTGCCAAAGTTGTTTTGGCAGCCATCCCAACTTACACCATGTAGACAGCAATATTACCCAAAATAATTTGTGGAGAACTGGAAAAAATCATCAGATAATTCGTATGGGGTAAAATAGATGGAAAAGGAGGATTACCATTGGTAAAATGGGAGGAAGTATGCCAAAAAGTATCAGATGGAGGTCTTGGGTTTAGAAAGATAAACGAGCAAAATGAAACATTTATAATGAAAGTGGCTTTTAATCTAATAGCAAAGAAAGACGCATTGTGGGTTTGGGTTCTCAAGGCGAAGTACAAATGTAAAGATGAGATATCGACTAACATTAGAAGCCAAAACTGCTCCAAACTATGGAAAGGGATAAGCATGGCATGAGAGGATGTCCGAAGCAACATAACCAGGATAATAGGAAACGGGATACATACCGATTTTTGGAGAGACCACTGGATTGCAGAAACAGGGCCATTAATAAATTTGGTCAATCAACGAGACCATAATCAGGTGGGAAAATCAACCATAAAAAGCATGACTGATGAAAAAGGTAATTGGAATTGGAGGCAGATTGAACATCTTCTACCACTGCATATACTTCTGAGACTGGCAGCAATTAAAAGACCTTACACAACATCAAACAACGATAGAATTGGATGGTTAAAGAGAGATGACCGTCAATTCTCTATCAAAACATCATATAAAGTTAGAATAAAACAAAGGGAAGATACTCAAGAACCTATATGGAAGGTAATTCACGCATACAAAGGAACTCAAAAGGTGAAAACATTCCTATGGCTAGTTTGCAAAGGTAAAATCCTGACAAATGCAGAAAGATTTCGACGACATCTTACAATCGATGGTAATTGCCCAATCTGTGTGACGCAAACAGAGGATATAAACCATATTTTTCGGCACTGTATTACCGTGACCCTTATTTGGACAACACTGGTAAAAAACGACGAAAACTTACATAATTTCCTAATAATGGACATAAAGAATTGGGTTGAAGTGAATTTAACAAGACCAAACATGTTTGCTAAAGATAGTAAAGATTGGGAAATCTTATTCGGATCGATATTATGGAACATATGGATCATGAGGAACTCGATTGTCTTCAACAATCCTATGGAAGATAACACAGGAATATTAGAACGCAACCGCAGGATGACAAATTCGATAAACAATGCAAATAGAGAAAAAGACCATGCGAACAAATCACAGCCAATTGAATTGGTTGGTCCAACGGTTTGGCTACCTCCATCAGAGGGATGGGAGAAACTTAATACAGATGCAACCCGTAGAAATACAGATGGAAAAGTAGCATGTGGAGGAGTAATTAGAGATATGAATGGAAAATGGAGGATCGGCTTCAAAAAATCCATAGGAATATGTTCTAGAATGGAAGCAAAATTATGGGGAGTATATATACAGGGCTAAGATGTGCATGGGAACAAGGAATCCAACAACTCATAGTTGAAGTAGATAGCCTCGAAGCAATACAGACACTGAAGAATAACACAAACAAAGAAGGAAATCTTACCATAATATCGCACATAGGGGAACTGATAAACCGGGATTGGAACGTCAGAATGTAACATGTCTGAAGAGAAGGGAATAAAATTGCTGATAAACTAGCAAGAAACGTCAATTTCGAAGATAACCAAACCAGAATCCTAAAGGAGCTCCTGCTGATATAAGCCAACTCTTTAGTGAAAAAGGTAATTAGGTTTAAGTAATTAGGTAGTTTTCATTTTCTTACCAAAAAAAAATTATCGTTTTATCATTAATTGATATTTAAAAATAATAAATAAACAATATATATGATAATTCTTTTTAATATTTAATTCGTATAAAATAATTTTTGAATTTTAATTTGTATAAAAAATAATACATTTTAATTTATAAAAAGGTAATAATAAAATTTAATGTTTGAGTAAATAGATGTGGTTAAGTGGATTTTAGTGATTGGATAGCACTATAACAAGAATAATAGCAATAAAAGAACATATTTCCATTTCTAAAGGGGGGTGCAATCTATGTATCGGGTCCTTTGCTTACAGTGGTCTGTCGTCGTTGACCCCATTCCGTAACGCGCCATGGCTCCAACCTGCCTTCACCTAACATCCTCCCTTCTATTTCTCACCGCCGTGATCTGCTTCAATCTCTTCTCCGTCGATGCAAAACATCATCACCGAGGGCCAATGCTCCTCCCTCTACAACTATCCTCACGCAATCATTCACAGCAAAGGCACTTGGACAACATCCGCCGTCTCCTGCAATCGGGACTCTCTCCTTCAACTCCAAACGCTCGCATGAGACTCTACGATGATCTCCTCTCCAACGGGTCCCTCTCCTATAAATAAAATGATTAGTTCTTTTCTTTTCCTTTTTTGATTTTTCGAAATATTGAGTTTTTTTGGGGGGCGATTTGCAGTTATTATACTACTCGATTATGGATAGGAACGCCTCCTCAGGAATTCGCTCTTATCGTCGACACCGGTAGTACTGTAACTTACGTTCCTTGCTCCAGTTGTGCACATTGCGGCAAGCATCAGGTTCGGTTCCTTATCAAAGTCGTAAAGTTCAACTTTACTAATTGTCAATTGTAATTAACCAACTTAAAAATTTATGCCTTTTTTTTAATTTGAGATTGAGGTAATTAATTAACTTTGATCTATTTGAAATTAGCGAGTTAATAGTTTAGTAGAATTAAGCAATTTTGAGTCTTAGATTTTTATCGTTCTCATAAGGAAGCGAGTTATGTTTCATTGTTATATTTAGAATCTTTGTCTAATTTCTTGATTTACGGATCTGTTGGTTAGAAATTATTTGGGGAACTGGTGATTATTTTGGCAAAATTAATATCTTGTTTGAATCCAGGATCCAAGGTTCCAACCGGATTTGTCTAGCACTTATCAACCTGTAAAATGCAATCCGAGTTGTAATTGTGATGATGAGCAGAAGCAATGCACTTATGATAGACGTTATGCTGAGATGAGTTCCAGCAGCGGCGTGCTTGGGGAGGATGTTATTTCTTTTGGGAATGAAAGTGAACTTGTTCCACAGCGTGCTGTTTTTGGTTGTGAAAATAGGGAAACGGGTGACCTTTACAGCCAAAGGGCTGATGGTATAATGGGTTTGGGTCGGGGGCTGCTTAGTATCATGGATCAACTTGTTGACAAGAATGTTATTGGTGATTCATTTTCTTTGTGTTACGGTGGGATGGATGTTGGCGGAGGTGCAATGGTTCTTGGAAATATCACTCCTCCCCCTCAAATGGTGTTCTCCCATTCAGACCCTTTCCGCAGGTACACTTCTCTTACAGTATTGTATTGGTGGATGCATTTTTCCTAAGAATTCATCTATTTCTTATTCATTTACTGTAGTTTTTGAATCTCAACAGCCCTTACTATAACATTGAGCTAAAGGAAATGCATGTTGCTGGAAAGCCATTGAAGTTACCAGCTGGGGTCTTTGATGGAAGGCATGGAACAGTCTTGGACAGTGGCACAACATATGCTTACTTACCGGAAGATGCTTTTGTTGCATTTCGATCTGCTGTAAGATCTAATTGCTTTGAGCTTCATGCTATGTGTAGTTTGTTTGCTAGTCAAGTTCTCCTTTTTATTCTCCGATTAATATTGTGTTACAGAAGCCAGAATTATTGTTTGAGGTTTAGAAGAAGTTTTTGATTTTGCATGGGAGATTTAAAAGAATGAGGTTTTGTTGCATTTACATGTTCTTTAATTGATGAATCACTACTCATTTTGTCATTTTTTTATCTTTGTTACTTCAAGAAGATAGAGTTGGAAATTAATGCATTTACCATTTAGGATTTAAATGACAAGTGATCTATGGAGAGACTGAGTACATATACATATTAATATTCATATATCTGAGTTATTACAATGTCATATAACCCGTCCATCCATATGAAAAATGCTTTATTTATTTCTTTCCAAATACTTGGAGCTGCTACTTCTTAAATATTGGTATGATCTGTGTAATCATCCAACTTCTGGATCTTTCATTTACGGGTTCTGTTCCTTTCTGAAGTTTGAAGCATGTCTATTATGCATGATTGTTTCCTTAAGCATATATGGTCCATCTTTTAAATTGTTGATGGAAACTGGCCATTACACTTTGTCAAGAGAAAATAAAGTACCGGTAAACCATCAAGTGACTTAGTGTAATTTACATTTGTTAAGTTATTGTAGAATCCCTGAATAATCAAGATATTCTATGACTATTGGAGATTGATTTTGTGGTCTGGCCATTTAGGGTCTAGTATTCAATCAACTGTTGCTTTGTCTATGCCTCCATCTTGAAAAAAATTATGGCAGCTACTATGGTTAATCTGTTATTTATTTTTTTTGAAAAATACTTACGTTGGTGTGTTCTATACTTGCTAACTCAAAATATTCCCTGAAACTGAGTTTATTTGTAATTGTCTTTAATTTTTAAGCTTAACCTTTATTAACATAAATGTCAGCATCTGTGTTTCTGCATGCTAATGTCCAGACCTGTTCTCCTACTTGGCTTTGTTAATGCAGATCCTAAGAGAAGTTCATTTCCTCAAAAGGGTTCATGGTCCTGACCCTAATTTTGATGACATATGTATTTCCGGTGCTGGAAGGTGTTGTCAATGACCTTTTTGTTGAATACTGAAATTTATTGTATTCCATTCATCTTAATCGTTTTCTTGAAATGTAATACAGGGATGTTTCAAACCTATCAAAAGTTTTCCCAGAGGTTGAGATGGTATTTAACAATGGAAATAAGTTATTACTGTCTCCAGAAAACTACCTGTTCCGGGTAATTAATATTTCTTTTTCCAAAGAAAAAAACTTGACTTGCTTGAAGACCAAAATGGGTCCCTGCTTGGTGGCAAAGCTAATTTAAGTGATTATAAGACATTCTTGAATCATCTATTTTCTGTGCTAGCTTTTCAAATTGCTATCTAACACGTATCTCTGTTTCTGTCTCTTAAATGGCATTCTTTGTAGCACACAAAGCTTAGTGGTGCATATTGCTTGGGAATTTTCCCAAATACAGAATCGACCACTCTTTTAGGAGGTATGTACTTCATTTGTGAAACACAAAGCCTCCTATCCCTCTATGTATGTGCATAGCACAGTATATAGTTTTGAAAAGGTCCAAGTTTCTTGCAGTATACATGGACATGTCTGGACCTTGTGCTTTTCCAATTCATTATATCTTGTTTCTTTGCATGACTGCAGAAATAATCTCTTACTTTTTTAACTTTATTTTACGGCAGGAATTGTTGTTCGGAACACCTTAGTGACCTATGATCGGAGTAATGACAGGATAGGCTTTTTGAAAACTAATTGTTCTGAACTGTGGAGGAGAGTGCAGTCATCGGGTGCACCTGCACCAGCTCCTTTAGTCTCCCAAAGCAATGATACTAACAGGGAAATTACTCCAACACCAACCCCAAGTGGATCGCCACCAAATGTTCTTCCAGGTTCATGGCATATTACTTGCTTCCTCACAATGTTTCCCGTGTTCTTGGTTTCTTCCCTTGCACCATTCCACGAATTGATGTATCATGGTCACAATTTATGTACTTTCTTCTATATAAGTTAGTAGCTCTTTTCTCGTGAACGGGAAATTAAGGCAGACAAAAAACTACAAAAAATAAACAGAGATGCTGTACTTGGTTTGAAACTTCTGCCGGTGCAGCAAGAAGTCTGTCAACTTTAACTGCTAATTAGACCCACCTGGTTTTTCAGTAAACTGCATACGGTGATCTCTTTCTTTTTATTTATTTTCTTTCTAGAAAGAAGTTGCCTTTTGTATGGAGGCTGATGACTCGTTTGCTTTGTAATCTTGATGGTGCATTCATGAAGTTTGATTGTTCTCCTAATAAGCATAGATTTGTCTTGTAGATTAAAAGGGCTTATAGTTATTGATAAGTAGCATTAAATGCAACCCCACAGATATTATATGTATGAAAAGTTATTTAATAACTTCCAGTGGAGTATTTAGACTCCAGAAGCAGGGTTGGAAGGATGAAACATATCCCTCAGGGTATTATTAAAAGAATAAATAAATAAATGGGGCACGTGGCAGCCTTTTAACCCCATTTGTAGTGTTAAGAAGCTCCATTGCAAGGTATCCAAGATAAATCCTTTACAGAATATACATGTTTCTCATTTATAATCTGGTTTCTGGTCAGGTACAAATTATGTGCGTGCATTTAAAGCTTATCATAGTTGAGATGGCCTAATTTTGTATCACATCCTTTTTTTACAATCTTGTTTAGTCTGTGATCACCTTTTTGTCTAGCAGAATAAGCTTATTGGTTGCTTTACAATAATGGTGTTTGCACGATGCGGTGCTTTTTTTTTTAATGTTTGACACTTAAGGCTGATGATAATCTTAGTACTTTTAGTGATAATGATGCAAGCATTTATACAATTTGATATTGTAAATGTACATTTCCTCTGATGATATTTTCTCCCCAAATTTGATAACCAGGTTCATTTCATGTTGGATTTATAACATTTGATATGTCAATTAGCACTAATGATTCCAAATCGAAGCTCAACTTCAAGGAGCTTGGAGAATTGATTTCCAAGGAACTGGAAGTTGATAAGTCACAGGTGCTGCTGAATTGCCTTGACTCTGGCCAGGTTTTTAGGCCTTGTGGGAATTAGATTTGAGGGTGTGCATTGGAGTGCTTTTAAAATATTTTATTTATTGCTTCACTTCTTTTAGGAAGAAACAGCTTATTTTTATTATTGGTGCAATGTAATCTAAATCATATTTCTAAGCATGATGTCATATATATTGAATCACTGTTGGAATCTTGTAGTTTTGTCAATACATTTTACTTGCAGATTTAAGTAGATGTGTTCACCTGTCAGGTAGCCTACTAGCCCACTCAAAATTGGATGGTCTGGGCTTAGACTAAAAATGTAGGCCTGATAGAAAACATCCGGGCCCAAACAGATTTTCTGACCTGAGCTCTAGATATTATGCATAAAGCCACCTTGAACCTAACTCTAATTAGGCCATGAACATATCTAGTATTTAACTTTAAAACTTGGAATTATTCTTTCTTCTTGCCGTGTGATTATGTGGGTTGTGATTATGTGGGTTTCTTATTGTGGGTACTCTTGAGTGGGCATATAGTGATCAACTATATGCACATAGCCTAAGCACAAAGATAAAACTCCCATTTTTTCTCTGTATGCAGCTCTATGTTTGACAGTTATAAATTAACCTTTATCTGTCGCATCGTATTTATGGTATTGGTTCAATTTTTCAGGTTCGGCTGCTGAATGTCACTTCCAAGGGTAATGAATACCTTGTTAGATGGGGCATTTTTCCTTCTTCATCTGCTAATTATATTTCTAATTCCACTGCATTGGTATTACCACTACTCAGAGATATACATATTTGCGAGTTGAAATTCATTTTTTCCCATCTATTTAGCATGTGTCTTATTTTCCTTTATCATGGGCAGAGCATCATCCTGCGCTTAAGGGATCACCGTATGCAGTTTCCTGAAAGAATTAGGAATTATAAATTGGTTGAATGGAATGCTGAACCTCAAAGGAAGTCGTATGTTATCTTTTGCCATTCCGCCTTCATTATTCCTTTTATGCTTTTTACTACTGTGGATTAAAATGGCTAGTATTCTATTGTGATGAACAAATCTTTGGAGCATTTTCGACCATGCAAAAATAGCATTTGGGGCCATACAGTTGTAGTTGGGATGGTTATGCCAATGCAGCTATGAGGGGCACATAAATGCAGCTATGCACCCCTTGGTTTATAAACCATTTTAGTAGCCTGTTTTATTTGCAGTAGTATCTAATACCTGTCTACAAGTTGGGGTTCCTTTTTCCCTTTGTCAAGGTTCCAGTTTAGGATATGAAGCTATATTTACCTGAACCGAGGCAGGCGAGTAACACTCGGGTGGTTAGGTACTATGAATTTTATGAAAATAGGGTCTTAAGAATCATGTTAGTGCGGATTCAAGGTCGAACCTGGGTCCAATGCAATAACATTAGAAATAGGAGTCTGTACTTCCGTAAAGATTGAGAGCAATGCAACCCGAATTTTTCTTAGGGGATGTTTCTTACCTACGATACATACTGATTCCAATGGTAAGTTTCAGAAATAACATTGGGTTCTTACTGGAGCTTTCACAGGTCATGGTGGGGACATCACTATCTAGCTGTGGTACTCGGATTTATAGCAACTCTTAGTTTGTCAGCTATTGGGATATGGTTGGTTCTTCGATTCAGACAGCAATCAATCACAGCTTATGAGCCGGTTGCTTCTCCTGTTCCGGAGCAAGAGCTTCAGCCTCTTCAATCTTAACTCAGAAACATTTGCTACAAATTTTTCTTGTATACTATATCTTTGCATAGAGAATGCATGCATTTGGAGTTACTCAGAACGAGAATGATGGTCCATTCCAGCCAGATCGAGACAAGGTGATGAAATATTTTAACCCCTGTTGTAAAATGCTTTTTATCTTCTTTTTTTAGAGGTGAAAAAAGGAATATATGATTTGACAAGATGATAATATATGTATTCTTTTCACTGTGATGCATGTCAATATGTGCAATAAATATTTCACATTGAGTAATACAAGATCAATTATTCTCTTTTTACCTATTTTCTTTCCGAAATGCTGTAAGATAGAATGTTGGGTTATTTCACGAATAGCCTAAACAACCCTTGCCCTAAATATATATATTATAGGATTCACCTAAACTGTAATTAGATTTAGTACTGTTGGATGAATGAAGATAGAAGATTGAATATGATTCTATTACACAATGTAAAACTCTTTTAGTTTTACATAAATTTAGGATCTTTAGGTGACCGAAAATAAATGATCGAAATTAACACTAGGAAATGAGAATATATTCACCGGAGAAAAAAGTAACGAATCAATCTCAGCCACTCATATAAAAGAGTTTTACATTGTGTAAATGGATCTTTATATATATATATATATATATATCATTCAAGGTGGAATGTCAAAAAGTGCAAAATACCAAGGCCAGAAATTGGGAGAGTGAGTTTCAATGGACAAATTTTGTGAAAAGCTTTGGTTCAAAGTTTCCAATTTGGAGGGTGAAAAATGGTAAATGAAAAATAGGAAGGACACCTAAAATGAGTCTTTAAAGTTATCCAAACTCAGATCCCAATCTTTAAAGTTTCTTCCTTTTAGTTGCCAATTACCGGTCTTTGTTTGCTGTCATAATTAAATTTGCATTAGTTTTGAAATTAGCAAAATTGAATTTTGTATTTAATAACCAAAAAAATAAATTTTGTATATAATTAAATTTTTATTTATATATATTATATCTCATATTATTTTATTTGATATATTACATTTATATATTAATACTTAATATAAAGAAGTAAGTATATTTTTATACATGAAATAATCGATTACAATTAATTTTTTAGAAGAAAAAATGTTGAAACATTAAGTATAATTAAATGATCAAATATATAAACAAATACTCAGTTTCCTATTCATCAATATTTGTTTAGATTAAATTGTATAAATGTGTATGTATTAATTTGTGCTTATCTATTCATCGTATGATAGTTTGTTTATCAATATTTCTATTATTTTTTCACACGAATTAAAATTATTTTAGATATCACTTATTTACTTTATTTTTAATTATTGGTTTTTATCTTCCTTCTTTATCAAGTATTCAAGTTGAAGATCTCATTTTACATGAGCGATACCTGACATCATTTCGTATTGTTGGGTCCACATACAACGAGTAGTACAATGGTAAGTAACTCATACACTTCATACTATTTTACATTTTTTTTCTTATGCTTATTATCATTTTAATTAAAAAATAAAGTATCCAAATTATACATCTTTATTATTTTAGGTATTTTAAATATTTTTCGCTTATAATTCATAATGACTATTAATTTTTTTAAATGACATGTCGCGTTTATATTTTTTGAATATTTTATTTAAAAATAAAATATTATTATTAAAAAAACTCAATTTTTTTCTATTTAAAAAAAATCTAAATCTTCAAAATCTTATATTTTTTTAATATTTCAAATTATTATATATTTTAGATTTTTTTCTTTAGATTTTTATTTCTTTTTGTACATAAAAATTTAGGTCAGAAGTGGGTCCCGCAGTCCAGGGCTATATCATACTTAAGACCAAATTGAGATTTACATAGGAATTTACAGATTGCCCATCAAGAGTGACGGTGGTAGGATTCGAACTTGACGTTGCAAGCTCAAAATTTTGAATCCTAACCACTTGTACCTATACTCGTTAGCTTCTTTATATTTTTTAATTAATAACATGTTTTAGTCTATATAAATTTATAAATTCGTTTTTCCTAAAATTTTAAAGATTTACTCAATGTGATATAAAATTATGTGTCAATTTCTATATATATATATATATATATATATATATATATATATAAGTGCGTGAAATAAAATGCAATAATAAAATAAAGAAATGAACATGATTGCAATGGATGTAAGTGTATCAAGTATGCTTGTTTAGGCAAATCATGATCAGTGGGAGTGAATGGCTACGAAAGGTCTAAATTAAGCAGTTGCATTACATATAATCATTGATTAATGGCTATGGGTCACTCCCCATCATATTGCCATATATTTTTTTCATTATATAATCACAACTTGTAGTTTTATTTCGTTTGCTGGAAAATAATAAACGAATTACTGGTAATAATAATAATAAGATGATTGTTTTCTGTCTTATTCCTGTTTCTATTCATTCAGATTGATTTTCTCATATTTAATGGTTGATTGTTATTTTTTTATATTTAAATAGATTAAGATATAAAATAATATCTTTTATATAATTTTTAAAATAATATAAAATCTAATGAAAATGCAATTTTGTTTAATTTAGATATTTTATTTTATATTATAAGAAATAAAAGGTTTATATTTGTTGTATATAACTTTTGTTTCATAAAAGTAATTTCAAAATAAAATTACAAACAATTATATTTTTAATGGTTTACCATCATTGCTTTATTGTATAATGTATATACTTTAAATATATCAAATATAAATAAAAATTAAAAAATGATTCCGATAAAGGTCCAAAAAATAAGATTATGCTGCTAGTAAAATAATTTTTTGAATTATTTATATTATATCTTATAACACCCATCGCGAGTGAAAAATAAAATAAAATAATATATTTATAAAATAAATAATTATAGATGAAAAGGTAAAAGATTTATATATAATATGTTAATATTATACTTGATTTCTAAATAAAGTGAACTTTTTAATCATAAATCACTAATTTTAATATTCTGTAATTGAATAAATATTTGATTAATGTGTGATATTACCTCGAACATTTAGAGTAGGTAAAGATAAAGAAATTGAAATATTTTTAAATTATTTTTTAATGAGCAAAAAAAAAACTAAGTTGCTTAAACTAAAGAAATTTATATTAAGAAAAAAAAAGAGAAAAGGAAGCGTTGTAATCACAACCTATTTCCAACATTATGAGGACTCCAGCCTCGCACGCTTAGCATGCTCACAATTGATTATTATTATTAATCTCTTTTTGCTAGTTTTAATCATTTGTCTGACCCTTCACAATTTCATTCTCACAAAAAATATAAAATCAATTAAAATATTATATAAAACAGAATTACACTACACGTAATACATAAAATATTATATTAAAATAATACCAATACACTCATCAAATTCTAACTTGAGGTAAAACTGTAAAAGAAGCAAATTTGTAATAATGATCAAAAGACTCAAAATTCAATTTAAAATTTTTAATCATAATTGTTAAATTTAATTAATTTAATAATTTTTCAATATATAGATTTGAATCGTAACCCGCGGCGTGACAGGCCTACCTAACTCAGCCTTGACTCGCGGGAATAACCTGCGATTGCGAAATTAGTTTTTTTTTTTTTTCTTCCCTTTTTTTTATTTCTTTCTGTTTTAGCATATTTCCTTCCCATTAACGCCATTCTCTCAATTTTCTTTTTATTTACAAACTATATTTTCCCCCTTCATTATCGTCAGCTGCTTTCTTCACTGTGCAATTCTTCTCCCTGTTCCCATCTTTCTTCTCTTTTATACTTTTGGACTATCACTTGGCGCACTTTAATACCAGAAAAGGGGACAACGGTGACAAAGCTTAACGACAAACTCTGATCAATTTCGGGGTTTCGTCATCGAAATGGAGGGAAAACAGGGGTTGTCCCGTAGTCGGTCGCGAGCTAAAAGTCCGGCGAGGAGTGCATCGCCAATGTCGAGCTTATTGCGGCGGAGGAGGAAGAACTACAGCCACCACTCGGAGCCGTTTTTCTTTAGGTCGGGGGGATTGAGGCCGGCGGAAGCTTTGTCGCCGTTGAAAGAAGGTCCCGATCCGGATGGAACAGACGGCGAAGATTCGAGGACGGAAGGTAGGTGGGCCCAGTGGATGAAAGGTCAACTGTCACGCGGTCCTTCCGCTTCGTCTTCGACGTGTAAACGCTCCGATCTGAGGTTGTTGCTTGGACTCTTAGGTGCGCCGCTTGCTCCGGTTCATGTTAGTGCGTTGGAGCCATTTCCTCACCTCAGCATTAAAGACACCCCAATTGTGAGCCTTATCTCATTCTCTCTCTCTCCTTATGCTGCATTTATTCCGTTGGTTTTAAAAGCTTCATTTATAATTTTTTAAAGTCAGGTGAAATTTTCAGAGAATTTGCTAAAAAATTTAATGAAATCAATGAGATGATTTCATTTGCATAGTGTTTGATCAAGGAGAAGAAAGGTGGGATTTTGATGGATTATAATATGGCTGGCTACATGGGGTTGTGTTTTTCAATCTAGATCTGCTATTGAATTTTGTAAGCATGCCAGGGGTGGTTATTTTAGGAGAAATAATACCAAGAATTTGATTAGTTGCTCTAGATTTCCATGGAGGGAATTTTCTGTAATTTGTTTTATGTTCAAAATTTTCAGGAATCTTCATCTGCTCAGTACATATTACAGCAGTATACTGCTGCTTCAGGTGGGCAAAAGCTTCAAAACTCCATCCACAATGCTTATGCTATGGGTAGGGTGAGAATGGTAGCTTCCGAGTTTGAGACGGCCAACAAGGTCAACAAGAACCGGAATTCTTCGAAAGTTGCAGAATCCGGTGGGTTTGTTTTGTGGCAAATGAATCCAGACATGTGGTATGTCGAACTTGCTCTTGGTGCTAGCAAGGTTCAGGCAGGTTGCAATGGGAAGCTTGTGTGGCGGTACACTCCTTGGCTCGGTGCACATGCTGCTAGAGGGCCTGTTAGGCCACTCCGTCGAGCACTTCAAGTAACTTCAATGTCGTGTTTACTTTTCTTTCTTCTAAATTTGTTTCACTGTGCATAATCACTCATCCAATGGAACAAAACTGTATTCCTTGTTCAGGGTCTTGATCCGAGAACAACAGCGAGCATGTTTACAAATGCAAGATGTAGTGGTGAAAAGAATATCAACGGTGAGGACTGTTTCATCCTCAAGCTTTGTGCCGATCCTGCGACATTGAAGGCCAGGAGTGAAGGACCTGCTGAGATCATCAGACATGTTTTATTCGGCTACTTCAGCCAGAAAACAGGCCTTCTTGTGCACTTGGAAGACTCGCATTTAACCCGAATACAAAACAACGGTGGAGACGCTGTGTACTGGGAGACTACAATCAATTCATTTCTCGAGGACTACAAACCTGTTGAAGGAATAATGATTGCTCACTCGGGTCGCTCTGTGGTGACCCTATTCCGGTTCGGTGATACTGCAATGAACCACACTCGCACCAGGATGGAAGAAGCATGGGAAATTGAAGAAGTGGCATTCAATGTTCCAGGTCTATCAGCGGACTGTTTCATACCTCCAGATGAAATAAGATTGGCTTCAATGGCTGAAGCCTGTGAGTTTTCTCAGGGTCGGAGTGTAAAAACTACCGTGGCTGCTGCACCATATAGAGCCAAACTCGGTAAACTAGATAAAAGTTCATAACACAGTTTATAAGATGGAGATTTAAAGAAGAGGGCTTTTGGCAAAGTTCAACGTAGCTTTTGACTAGACTTAATAGTTTTTTTTACTTGACTAACTAATTAGAAGGTAAAGTCGAAACTGTAGTGGTCTGTAAGAATTTTGGTATTGGATAATGCCGCTTTCAAATTTGTAAATACAGCAGGGTGATCTTGGTACTTTTCGTAGGATGAAAATGTATTAGTTATCTGTATTCTTCTTTAGGGTAAATTAATCAAGTAGTCCCTTGACTATAGGTTCGAATAAAAAACCAAATTCCCTAATTACTAAACATATCTGTGCATATAAGGCTTATTGCTGTTAGGTTCAATGCACGCATAGTTTTTATAGTTCGAGGCTCATGTAAATCACATAACCTTCTAACTACCAATCAATATGATTAAACATAATGGGAACTGATTCCAAATTGCTGGAAGATAAGATTTATCTAGCAATAAAGATAACAGGAATTTTTAATCTTGGAAGACTCCTAAAACAGTACACGCTTAATAAAACAGTAAACAATAAAAGATAGGACTCCGACTCTAATGTAATCCTTGGCTATTGCATCCGTTACTCAAGAAACAGTGTAATTTTAGCAAATGGATTGAGGTTAGAAATCTGCCTTTAGTTTACCATACAGAGTGCGAGGCAGCATTGCGCTGTCTTTATCAAGTCGGGGCAGTAAGGAAGGCAACAGCACAGGAAATGGAACCCGTTTTCCTCGATTCACTTGATTATTTGGCTGCTCTGTTCCACTGGCCTGTTGATTACTCATCTACTGTAATTTCGCATACTGTCATCATTCACTGTCTTCAATGTGGTGTTCTCCAGTCCACGTGGCATTGGACTTCGCTCGGTAGTCTGAATCCCAGTCATCTGAATACCTGAGCTGAAACTTGTTCAGCTACTAGACGACGATTATCTTGGGGTTTTTTTTTTGGCGGTGGTAGATGGTTAACAAGAGCTCCCTGTTGCTTTCGCTCCATTTCGGACGAACGCTGCTTTTGCTTCTGTGCATTCTGAACAGCTTGTTGGTTTTGGAAGTTAGTGTTTCCTTGTCGTAACCGGTTTTCGTCCGGGCACGAAATATTTGGTTGGCGGAAAAATTGATGTGAATAAATGGTTTTGAAAATAATTTGGAAGTCGCCATCGACCTTTTGGGTCAGGTAGGTCGAATACCTAAAAATTATTTTTTAAAAGAGTTTTAAGAAAACATCAATTAAAAGATGAACTGATCTGCGTTTATAACCAAAAATTCGTTCTTTTTAATAATAAAAAGGGATTTGTGGTCGGTTACGTTTAGGGAAGGATTAGCACCCCTACAACGCCCAAAATTGGTACTTTTTTAATTATAAATTATCTCTATTATTAAAAATTTAAAAATTCAAAATATATTTAATTTATAATCATATTATTTCAAAATTATATAAAAAATATTTATTTATTTATTTAAAAATATCAGAAAAGGACTTCTAGGTGCCTTAAGACAGTTCTTTTCTTTGATATTAATAAATATTAATTTAAATAAAATTAAATAATAATTTTTTATAGCATTTATTTTTAAAATACCAGAATATGACATCTAGTTGTATTAAGACTGCCCTTTTCTTTGATATTGAAAAATAAATATTAAAATTATTTTATTAAAAAAATAAATTATTATTTATTATATATATATTTATGACTACATAATAATAATAAAAATATTTAAATATATAAACAAGTAAAATTAAAACAATAAAAATACAATTAGAACTATATATTTAAAAGCAGTAAAATAAATGAAAATATTTAAAATTAGTGATTAAATTATAGTAAAATTAAAATTAAATACCTAATTCATAATTAATCAAAATTATAGGGATTAAACATGCTATATTTTTTATTTATTAATTTAGTGACTAAAATAAAATTATATAAAATTCGGATATTAGATTAAAATAAATTAAAACATACTATTCAGATTAAAATATTAATTATTTAAAATAACGGACTAAATCTGTTATTTACCCTAAATATATTATTTTAATATAAAGGACTTAAATAAATAAAATTAAAATTAAAGAACCGAATTAAAAGGATTATAAATTGATTTAGTGACTAAAATGTAAAGTTTACAAATTAGGATGACTGCGGAAAGGATTTAACTTTTATTTAATTACAAACAGACCCCTCCCCAAAACGGCGTCGTTTGGGGAGGGCTATTTAAGTCCAAAATCACCTGGCCCGAAGGGCCAGCTTCATTTCTCCTCTCTTCCCTCTCTCTCTCTTCTCTGAGAGAGAAAAAAATTCTCTCACTTCTCTCTAAAAAAGAGAGAAGCTCTCCGGCCGGCAGCCGCTTGCCGGCGTTGATCCCGCCGCCGACCACCGCCTTCGGTGGTCGGAATAACTTTTTTTACATTAAAACGTAGATCGGACCGTCCTAATGACGGTTCCGATGGTCTATTCTTTTAAACGGCTCCCGATCGGAGCAAATCTAAAAAAATATACCTTCGGTTTTCGAAGGTTTTTGGTGACGTCTAGAGGCCGGTGGTGACTCCGATCAAGGCGGTGGCTTTCACGGTAAGTCTCTCTCATTCCTTTCCTTGCTGTGTTGTGGGGTTTTCGTCTTTTTGTTCTCCGTTCTTCCTTTTTTTTTCTGTTGGCTACCTCTCCCTTCTCCTCTTTTGCAGGTTGGGTGATGGCTTTATAGTCATCACCGGCGCTTGTCTCGGACCGGTCCGAAAGGTGGAGTTCGGTGAGTCACCGAGCTATTTGGTGACTCACCCCTAGAGCTTGCGACGTGGGCGGCGGGTATTGAAGCAGCAAAGCTTCTGGATTCTTCAGCGAGGCGGCGGCGTCGTGGCGTGGCACTGGCAGCTGGGACGTGTCCCTAGGGTTATGATACCCTAGGGTTTCCTTGTTGGGTATCTCTGGACCGTTGGATCTGGCAAGATCCAACGGTAGCAAGCTGAGGCGGCTGGGAGAAGAGGAAAACCCTAATCTGGTTTAGGGTTTCTATTAGGCTAGCTTAGGTGGGCCACTGTATTTGGGTTAACTGGTTGGGCCGGACTTGGCCCGTTTATAATAATAAATAATAATAATAATAATAATAATAATAATAATAATAAATAATAGTAAATGGAGAAAAAAAATAGTATCTTCAACTACCCCTCTTTGCTCATTCTTGTGTTAACAAGAATAGAGTAAAGATGAAAAGATAATAATATTTTTTATCCATTTGAATTCACTTGATTAATATGGAGATGTTGAATAAATTCTTCTCTTTCTTCATATGAGTTCTTCTCATTATGAACTTTCCGCTGGGGAGGATGTTGACCTATTTCCTTCTGTGATAGAGTCTTTTAAAAGGTTGAATAAGCTCTTCTCATTATGAACTTCTTCTTTCTTCTTCAGATGAGTTCTTCTCATTATGAATTTTCTCTGAGAAGGTTGATGCTAATCTATCTCTTTCTGTGATAGAATTATGCAAAAGGGTTGAACAAGCTCTTCTCATTATGAACTTCTTCTTCTTCAGATGAGTTCTTCTCATTATGAACTTTCTCTGGAAAAGCTGATCCATCAAGTGATGGATTTAGCAAAAGGTTGAACAAATTCTTCTCATTATGAATTTCTTCTTTCTTCTTCAGATGACAAGTTCTTCTCATTATGAACTTTATCTGGCAATGTTGATCCATCAAATGATGAATTCAAACAAAAGGTTGAACAAATTCTTCTCATTATGAACTTCTTTTTCCTTCTTTAGATGAGTTCTTCTCATTATGAACTCGAACTGGTAATGCTGATCCATTGAATGATGAATTGGAGCAAAAAGTTGAACAAATTCTTCTCATTATGAATTTCTTCTTCTTCAGATGACGAGTTCTTCTCATTATGAACTCTACCTGTCAATACTGATCCATCAATTGATGGATTTGAGCAAAAGGTGGAACAAATTCTTCTCATTATGAACTTCTTTTTCCTTCTTCAGATGAGTTCTTCTTATTATGAACTCGAACTGGTAATGTTGATCCATCAATTGATGGATTTGAATCTTTGCTAAAAATCTTTGAAATTCCTGTCAAAATTCAACATGGATGAGAATGAATGAAAATGCACCTATTTTTGCAAATGCCTAAATATGATGCATGAATGTTAAGTTATTTGATTTCAGATTGGTGAACTGAGTATTTCTTCAGTTGTAGAAACCCAATAAATCTTTCTTCTTCAAATCAGAGAATCTATCATAAATGTAGATGTAGATATAATGTCACAAAATCTCTTGAGAATAAAACTCAATAGTATAGGCTCTTGAAAAGCTTGCATTCATGCAACATGTTAATTCTGATAACAACTCATCTGATTATGAAGTGATCTTTCAAGATGATTTCACAGATATCGATAGTTCTTTTAATACCGAGAAATCTTGAATTCTGATTATGATGAGGAGAATAAACTGTTATACTTGACAAAAATGGGATTCTCAGAGGCTGAAGCTTCAATAGCCATGGAGAGATGTGGTCCAGATTCATCAATTGCAGAATTGACAGATTTTATATGTGCTGCTCAAATGGCTAAGGCTGCTGACGCACTTCTTCCGGTAAAAGGTAGGAAGCCATTATGCAATGATCCCAATTACAAGAAAAGGCGAAACTTGGGCTATGATTTTTGGGAAAGAAATAAGTAGAAGAAGCTTAAAAAGAAGCTTCTTAATGAAGACGATCATGCAGTTCATCTTTTAATTCCAATGATTGGTTCTGTGGTTCCTACCAAACCAAATCAGATAACTCAAAGAACACTTCCAGAAGATGCTATTGGGTCTTCTTATTTCTACTATGAGCACATTCATCTTTCAAATCCAATGATTGGTTTTTGTGGTTCATACCAAACCAGTTCAGATAACTCAAAGAACACTTCCAGAAGATGATATGAGCACATTCATCTTCCAAATTCAATGATTGGTTTTTAGGGTTCATACCAAACCAGATCAGATAACTCAAAGAACACTTCCAGAAGATGCTATTGGGTCTACGACACTTGTTCTACTTGAATCTGATGAGATGGAAATACTTCTAGGTTTCCCTAAAAAAAACATATACAAGGATCTGTATAGAGACATGTTCCATGGTGGTATCAAAGTCCTGTCTCTTTTCTCTGGGATTAATGATGCAGAGGTTGCCTTTTACTATCTTGGCATACTTTTGAAAATAGATGTGCAAGAACTGAATGATGATCGGTTGG